ACCTTCAAACTGCATTTTGAGCATGTCACTTGCATTCTGCCCCTGAACTACGCTGGTTTGATTCCTTGCAAAAGGATACGTAGGCAACCTTCGGGTTCAACCACTTGCATTGCATTGCATCTTGTTTGTTTGCCCAAGTCTTACGGCCTCGTCAAAAGGGTCGTCTTTGGGCTTTGACATTCACTCACGTCATGCAATGACTTTGAGCTCTGTCAAAGAGGGGCAACTGTAGACACCCCATTTTGACCGGCCCTAAGACTTGGGCATTTTCTTTTGACCACCCACTGATAAAAATTAGAATATGTCATTCTATGAATTTCTCAGCTGAAAAATCAAATTGAAGCTTTAATCCCAAACCTCACCCATTTTGGTCAAATTATTTTATATCACTAATATTTTATCAATTTGTAATATTTTATAATTTTTATCTAATTTTATGTGTGTGTACACATTTTTAGGTGTTTTTTATATAAAATAATAAAAAAAACAAAAAAAAACAAAAAATAAAAAAATGAAAAAGAAAATAAAGAAAAGAAAAAAGAGAGGGTCAGATGAGGATAATGGTTTTTTTTGGATGGGAAAGGATTTTGTTTTTGCTGGATTCAAAGGGGAACAGAGTGGACATTGTGATGATAAGTTTTGGGTGGAAAATAATTCGGTGAAGTAGGTTTGAAAAGTGATGGAGGAAATTGAAAAAAGAGGAGGGCAGATGAGAGTGGGTGGAGAGGAGACACCTAACATCAGAATAATTGAGGTCTGTGGGCACCAGGGGTGTGAATTTTTTATGATTGTTGGCATGGTGAATGATAAACAATTAAAAAATCTCAATCTTTATATTTTCCAACTTGTTTGAAACAAAAGGGGGGAGGGGAGACACTACACAGCAGAGAGAGACCACATATACACAGACACCCAGGTAACACATGCACAAAGAGGTTGATCTCTCTCCCTCTCGGCACCTCTCTCTCTGAGAGGCTGCATGGCCTCTTTTCTCTCTCTCTCTCGGGTGGAACAATGGCACACAACCACACACACTCATCACCCACACACTACCCATGCACACACACACCATTCACACAAAGCACATACCCACACGGCTCTCTCTCACCTCTCTCTAGATGGGTCTCTCACGAGACACACCCGTCACACACCCAACACATGGCAGAACACACCCAACACAGACCAGCCACACATAGACACCATTCACACTCTTCTCTCTCAAGATCCATACACACCCATGGACATCACGGGGGACACCAATTGAAAAAGGATCAACACCACCACCCATGCACACACACACACCATTCACACACGGCATACACACACGGCACCTCACTGAAACACACCACACACGGCACACGCATCACACATAGCACACTGACATACACACACACACACAAGCTCACCTCTCTCTTTGGGGGCTGCTATCACACTACACATACCCGTAGAGATCACACGGCACACAGGATAGACACACAGACACACGGTTTTGAGAGGGGAAGATCCATACACATGCGGTCCCTCACCATTTTTTAGCTATCTCTCTCTCTCTCGGCAGAACCCCGCCGACTTGAACTCTCTCACACAGACACACAGATTTTTGGGCAGCAGGGGATTGGATGGTGATTGAGCAAAACACACAGGAGGGACTTCACCCTCCTCTCTCTCTCGGCTGTTTTTGAGTGTTGAAAATGGAAAGAGAAGACACACACCCACGGCACTCTCTCTCTCTTTAGGCCCAGACACACACAGCTTGAGATACACACACGGGAGAGAAAAGAGGAGACATACATACATCTCACTCACGGCAGTCCAGCCATGGACAGCAACAACTCACACACCCAGCATCACCAACCGAAGTCAAGTTCGGGAGCAAATGTAGCCAACCAGCAGCTACAGAAAACCATGGTCCAGTGGGCTTACTTAGTGGGCTTACTTTCATAATTTTGGGCTCTGGGCTCTGGGCCCAATTTCCAGTAGAGAAAAGGAGTGGGAGCTGTCAGTGGATTACTGAGTTGAAGTTTATTTTATTTTATTTTATTTTAAATCCTAGATTTTGAATAAGAAGTTTTGATTTTTGGCATTCATGTTCTTTATGTTCATGTTCTTCACGCTCTTCAAGAAGAAACCTAGATTTCCAGACTTCATTTCCCTAAGTGTGGTCACCGAGACCCACTCTTGTCCAGACCTCACAACTAGGCTAGGCATTGCATCTCACCTTGGCCTACCTTGCATGAACATTTGTACCTTGGTTTATCTTGCATGCACACCTAGGCCGACCACTGTACACTTTTGCTGGCACCTTGTAACACCTCAGCCAAGAGGTGTGGAACCTCGGCCAAGACCTCCTGAGTTCGCCCAGCTAGGCCATTTCGGCCCAGCTCATTTTTGTACGTTCATTGTGAGACCTGGTTTGTACCTAACATGCTTTTCCAAGAAGGAAAATATTGATTTAACTCCCGACACATGTTTTGCTTTGTGTTGACTTGGTTTTGGAAAGAAATGCTGGGATCTATTTCACCCAATTGAAGCTTGTTTTGAGAGTGCATTTCATAACCATCCTTGAGCATCTCTTCTTACCTTCTTGAAATGCATTCAATGGAATTACTACGCACTTGTAGGTCTTGGATCCTTGCTTTAATCCCTACATCCAAAGAGCTATTGTAAGTGGTATTTTTAATAAAGTTATGTTATAATGTTTTGATAAAAGCTTTGTTTTGTTTTGGAAAATTATTTGATCAAGCATGAATGATTATCCTTTAGTGTTTGTATGAAGTATTATGTTTATTTTGATGACATTTTTGAAAGGTCCTTAGTGCTAGGAGACTTTAATGCAACTAGTACCTTTGTTTGAGATATCTCCTTTGTTTGGGATGTTAGTAAACATCCCAAGAAGCTTTGAAAGCCTTTGATTGATGAACTTGGTTCATCCTTTGTTTTGTTGCAAGCTATGATATGTATTGTTTTGTGAAAATCTCAAATATCATTTATTCAAACCTTTATTATTTATATCATTCACTGAGTTTTCAGCTAACCCCTCTCCTTTATATATACGTAGGTGATGAGCAGGAAGGCAATGTTGCCTAAACTTTATTTGTAAGATGTTTTGATTCATGTTTTGCATCATCTTAAAGATTATACTTTTTAGCTTTGTAGTTCGTTTCTTTTGTATGCTTTGGTTTGAGAAGCCTTTTGATCAAGATGTAATATGTACTTTCTTTTATTTTGTTTTCAAGTTGTAAAAGCATGTTAAGATGTATGTCATTTAATTTAATCTATGCACAACTCTTATGGACTAACTAGATTTAAATTTATTGCTTCTGCACATGTATGCCACATATATGTACTTTATTTGTGTGAATCTTTGTAAGTTGGCCTTTTGTAATCTCAGATTTCTGGCCATCACGATATCATTCTGTTAGGGGCGGAATGGGGTTGTGACAGATTGGTATCAGAGCACAAGTTCCTTATAGTACGTTTATTCACACACACTTGGTCCTAAAGATCATAGGATTTCCCTTAGGGTGATATTAGGATTGCATCATATTGCTTGCTATTTGACAATGTGTGCATTATTTTGGCATGTTTATTTGCTACTTGTCTACTTGTCAATTTGTCAATCTTATTTTAAAGTCACATTTTGCATACTCCTAGCATCATGAGAAGGGGAAGGCCTTCAATTAGACGAGATCATTCTGAGGATAGGTTGGACAAATTGGAAAGGTTGGTAGAGGGTTTGACTTGGGAGTTGAGACAAGCAAGACAACAGAACACTAGTACCACCTCTACCTAAGCCGAGTAGACAAATGGCTGAAATGTAGTTCCACCTCCACCCCCTTTAGTACCTCAAGTGCCCTTACAACCAGCTTTATATGGGGATGACACTTTAACTTTGATCAAAGAATTTAAGAAAATGAATCCGCTGAGATACCATGGGGGTATAGAGCCATTGAAGGCAGAAGCATGGGTTCTTGAAATGGAGAAGTTATTTGAAGTCTTTCCTAGTATCGATACCCAGAAGGTGTCATTGGTAGCATTCACACTGGACGACGATGCTCGTAGGTGGTGGATGATGATCCGAGAAGGTAATCCGGGCTTGACTTGGGCTAGATTTTTGGAGTTATTTCATGACAAGCATTTTTCCCTTAGTGTTCAAGATTGCAAGACCATAGAATTCCAGACTTTGACACAGGTTAACAAAACTGTAGCTGAATATGACCGTGTTTTCATCTAGTTGGCTAGATATGCACCTCACACTGCCAATACCGAATGTAGAAAAGCTAAGAAGTTTGAGAGTGGGCTTCGTGGACTGATACAAGACTGGGTTAATATGCTCAACATGCTGACTTACGTTGAAGTATTGGACAAAGCCATCTTGGCAAAAGCTAACTTGAATAGATATCAAAGTTTAGGAGATAATCAGAGAAAGAGGCAGAATTATGACAACTGCTGAGCACCACTCGATGCCAAGAAGAAGGTGAATGCAGGTAGTTCTAGTAACTCAAATCAGGAAAGTGGCACTAGGCCGACATGTACAAGCTATAGAAAGAAACATTGGGGAGTTTGTCATTGGGCATCTAGAGCATGTTTTGAATGCGGTGAGATGGGTTATCGTGTCAAGGACTGTTACAAGGAAAAGGTTAAGGATGGTAAGAAAAATGTGAGTACCTCAGGTTCTGCACAAAATGGCAATGTCATGAAAGGGTAGATGAGGTAGGGTAGAGTCTTTGCATTAGTGCCAGGGAACACTCAAAGCGCCAAGACAGTAGTGTCAGGTATACTTCCTATTTGCGCTCAAGATGCATATATATCGATTGATTCGGGTTCTAAACATTCATTTGTATATGCTAAATTTGCCGAGAAGTTAAATAGAGAACTAGAACCCCTTGGTTATTTATTATCTGTGTGTACCCCATCTGGAAGAACTATTACTGTTGCATACATTTATAGAGCATGTGTTGTTGTGATTGAGAATGTTGAATTATTAGTTGATTTGATGTTGTTGAATATAACTCATTTCGATGTTATATTGGGAATGGATTGGTTAGTAGCAAATCATACATCCATTAATTGTGTTTCTAAAAGTGTCACTTTTAAACCCCCAAACCAAGCCGAGGTTACATTTCAGGGTAAAGGAGTAGTATCCCCACTTTACTTGATTTCATTCATGAAAGCTTATAAGCTGATCCAAAAAGGATGTCAAGGTTATTTGTATAGTGTACTAAGTAATCTGAATGGAAATATTGAATTGCATGATATCCCAATTGTTAATGAATTTCCTAACGTTTTCCCAAATGATTTGCCTAGCCATTTAGTGGATAGGGAGATAGAATTTACTGTTGATGTTATACCAAGAACACAACCTATTTTCAAAACACCCTGTAGGATGGCCCCTGCAGACTTTAAGGAGTTAAAAGTTCAGTTACAAGAGTTGTTGGATAAGGATTTTATTAGGCCAAGCACTTCACCTTGGGGAGCACTGGTTTTATTTGTTAAGAAAAAGGATGTCACACTTTGCTTTTGTATTGATTACCGAGAACTGAATAAGGTAACCATTAAGAATAAATATCCATTGCCGAGTGTAGACCGCCCGAACTTGCTCCGCGCGCCCCCTTTTCGGAGAGGGCGTGAATTGGGTTCTAGCTATTACAGTTCGGACTCCTATCACGGTTCTGAATCTAATCTCACAAAGTGCAATGTAAGACTGATAAATCACCGAAGAGTCCAAATCCGGCAAATCGTTTTGGAAAATTGATTTTAATAAAAAAGCGCCAAACATGGACTGCTTTGCCAGATTTCAGAGTCGCCACCTAAATATTTTATTTTGAAAAATTTAGGAAACCCTGACTCGTGCCTAAGGCCACGTGTCCGTCATCACCAAAGTTACCTCGGCTCGGGAACTTGGGTACGAGAGGGGAAGGTCCTGAAATAAGCACCCCCGCTCGCCCGATCAAAGATCGGCCTCTACTAACATGATATGTTGTTTTGAAAACACATGTGTTCTTGTTTCGGTTATTAGCTTAACTTACTATGTGATGCGCACATCACACAAGTATAGACTAGATCGCCTGAATTGGAACAAAACAATTCAATGTTTGTTTTTCAAAAATGGTTTGAAGTTGCTACCTTCAAGTAGGCTAAAATGCAGATTTGCACCCTCAAGTGGGCCTAAAACATGATGATTTGCCACTTCAAGTGGGCTTAAAACGCACAGTTTGATGAATTGTTCCAATTCAAATAATGAAGCCATCATCCACAGGCATTTAGACAGTTATAGCAATTAAGCAAATAGCCTCATGGCAAGCATGCTATCATGGCAGTCACTTACACACATGCAAGGATGCTAAAGCATAAACACTTACAGTGTACTCCGAGCCAAAACAACAACTAGTTAGAAATCAATGCATGATCCTAACTATGTTAAGTGCCTAATGCAACACATGGAAAATGCAACTAAATGGGCTCGGCTATCTAAGATGGCATATGAATGTAACGAGTTGATACATGTATTCAAATAGGTATTGAAATACAATGCAGTTTGAATAATGCACCGAGCCCGGTGCATGCAAGACAAATGGATGATGCACGCATGCAAGCATAAGGTATGCTAATCGAAAATATGCCCTAATCTAACCACTGCAAGCGAATAAATAAAAGAGAGAAAAACGTGGGGTTGGAAGACATTCACACACACACGCACACTTATTACAAAATTTGCCCTCTCGACGGAGGGTCTGAATAAATCAACTAACTAGCTACGCTAAGCTAATTAATTACAAACCGAATTGATTAGCTTAGTGTTATATGCATGCTTTTTTCCTTGCTCTGTGTGTTGAACCTAGGCTATGTATCTTTGCTACCTCACGCCTAGGTCACACCTTTGAACCTCTTACACCTAGGCCATTCTGCGTCAACACCTAGGGTCATTTTGGAACCACCTTTGTGTTGAGTAATTGTTAAATTATGCGATTTTCCTTAATTATGTGTTTATATGCAAAATTATGTGGCATGTGTTGTACATGTCATGTGTCTTTGTGCCACGTGTTAATTGTATTGAATTAGTGGGAACTGATAGAATGGGAAATAAACCTGTCTGAATCAGAAAACCATAAGATTAAAAATATTTGGAATAAGCAATTAGAGCCTGCTTCACAGTGGCATGGATAAATTTAGTGTGTTTTGAGGTAGTATGAGATGAGAATGGAATTAATTAAATGCCTTTGATTTATTAAGCTAAGTTAGGATTAATTAAAAATTTATTGGTACCTCATTGAATTATTAGCTCAAGTCAACAAGTAAGAGGGGGACATAGAGAGATAGATATTTTTTGTAGAGAGACTTAGGAGAGTTCTAGAGAAAAAGAAAGAGAAAGGGAGAGATTTTCATTCTGGCACCTTTTAAGGAGATTTGATCAGATAGTGCCACGGGTCCCAGAAGTGGGTACTAGTCAGGTTAGCAGTGAGAAACCCATATCACTTTGCCATATCTTTGCCTTGTAGAGAGAGAAGCTCTAGGAGGAAGAAGGAGAAGGAGTTCTTAGGGTGAGAACTAGATTTCCAAGCTTGATCTTCATACCTTGAACCGTTGGATATGAATTTTGAGGTTAGATTCTTGATCTACTCTTGTTGTTCTTTATGTTAATTTGATCACATTGCATGATCTAGCATGATTCATGAGTCATGCATTGATTTAAAGTTTTGTTTTAGAAAAAGAAAGTGATGTTCTTGTGTTCTTGAAAGAAAACCATGTTTTGATCCAAAAATTTGTATCAATTTCCATGTTTTTGTGTTTGTTTTCTTGAAATCTTCATGTATGGGTACCCAGATCCATGTTTTTGAACTCATGTCATAAAATCTCAGATTTTGAATAAAAAGTACGACTTTTGGCATTCATGTTCTGCATGCTCTTCAAGTGGAAACCCAAATTTCCAAACTTCACTTCCCTAAATGTGGTCACTGAGACCCACTTTTGTCCAAACCTCACACCTAAGCCAAGCATCGTACCTCACCTTGGCCTACCTTGCATGATCACTTGCACCTTAGTTTATCTTGCCTACACACCTAGGCCGACCATCGTACATTTTTGCCGGCACCTTGTAACATCTCAACAAGCAACCTCACACCTAGGCCAAGGAGACCACACCTCGGCCAAGAGGTGTGGAACCTCGGCCAAGACCTCCTGAGTTCACCCAGCTAGGCCATTTCGGTCTGGCTCATCTCTATACATCCATTCTGAGACCTGGTTTGTACCCAGCATGCTTTTCCAAGAAAAAAAACATTGATTTAACTCCCAGCACATGTTTTGCTTTGTTTTGACATGGTTTTGGAAAGAAAATGACGGGATCTATTTTACTCATTTGAAACTGTTTAGAGAGTGCATTGCATAACTATCATTGAGCATCTCTTCTTGCCTTCTATGAAATGCATTCAGTGAACTTTGCTATGTGATTGTAGGTCTTGGATCCTTGTCTTAATCCTAACATCCGAAGAGCTATTGTGAGTGGTATTTTTAATAAAGCTATGTTATGAGGTTTTGGATAAAAGCTTTGCTTTGTTTTAGAAAAGTATTTGATCAAGTGTGAATGGTTATCCATTAGCTTTTGTATCAAGTATTATCTTTGTTTTGATGACATTCTTGAAAGGTCCTTTCATGCTAGGGGACGTTAATTCATGTTTTACCCACGTTTGAGATATCTCATTTGCCACCGACGGTTATGAATGGGTGTGCTTTTGATTCCGGGTCGATTATTGATTTGTTTTGTCAAGAATGTCATTCCTTGGTATTATGTAGATGTTAGCGAACATCCCAAGAAGTTTTGAAAGACTTTGATTGATGAACTTGGTTCATTCCATGATTTACAAGCTATGACATATAATGTTTTGATAAAGATCTCGGATATCATTCATTCAAACCTTTATTACTTATGTCATTCACTGAGCTTTCAGCTCACCACTCTCCCTTATATATATATATATAT